GCGACGTCGCGGCGGAGTCAACGCCCTCCGGCGCCCTGTCCCTCCGCGGACTGGCACCTCTGCCCCCCTTCCCTGCATCCCTTCCCTATGCCTCCGCCAGGCACTCGCTGTCTCGCCACACCCACCTTTCCCGCCCAATTCCACTCTAACGCTCTTCTTATAACTGACCATTCCCGCTACATCCCTGCCAAGCCTCATCTAGAACCGACATAACCCGCCACGACCAGGATCGTCCCACCTCCGCCTCTTCCCACCACCGCTACGTTCCGCCTCCACCTTGACCCGCACCCGCCTTTACCCGTGTCCGCTTTGTCCCACCTCCACTTTGTCCCGCCTCCCCATTGTCCCGCCTCCGCATTGTCCCGCCTCCGCATTATCTCGCCTCCTCATTGTCCCGCTTCCGCATTGTCCCGCCTCCACCTTGTCCCCCCTTCACGATGTCCAGCCATCACGATGTCCCGCCTTCACTATGTTCCGCCTCTTCCTCGTCCCGCTTCAATCCACATTACCTCTCTTGGACCCGCCTCGTCCCGCCGCATGGTGTCGTCCTGCCTCTTCCTGCCTCGTCCTGCCTCGTCCTGCCTCGTCCTGCCTCGTCCTGCCTCGTCCTGTCTCGTCCTGCCTCGTCCTGCCTCGTCCTGCCTCGTCCTGCCTCGCCCCGCCTCGTCGCCCGCCGCTCGTTATGAGTCGCTCCGCACTTCTCCGCCCTGTACCTTTGTACTTCGACTCACTCCGCACCGTTCCGGACCCCACGCCTCTGCCCTGCACGAAGATGATCCTGGAAATGGAGGCGTGAGCTATTGCCACGATGACGGAAATGACAGGGGCACACCAAGGCAATTGGAGAAACGATGGGGAGAGATTCGGGCAGATAGTGCAGCTTCCAAACTTTGTTACAATGCGGCGACAAAAAAAGAAGATACGAACGTGTACGTGTGTCAGTCATACGATTGATAAAATGCATACATGACTTTGTGTCAAAGTCATACTTTATGCAAATGTACTACTCCTTCTCCTCCTCTTCCTCCTCCTCCTTCTCCTCCTCCTCCTCCTCCTCCTCCTTCTTGTTATATTTCTTGTATTTCTGCTGTCTAAAAAACGTGTATCTCAAATCTACTGAGCTCATTGCTGTTGACGATCCATCACCAAATGATTATATATTTTCTGTAATTGAAGACTGAAAGTGGGAAACGCTGCAAAAATTAAAGATTGTTCATAGAAAAAGGTGAATGAAGCAATGGGCAAAAGTTGGAAGTTTCAGAAATGTTTCCTTATTGTTCAAAACTACTCTAACGGATGTAGATGTTTCTATTTCTGCAGTAATCAGTTCCTTCGAATGCTAACTTAACTGAGTTCGGTACATGCAGTTTCCCGTATCCAGTCTAGACAAAAATATTTTTAAAATCTTTGTTAAAGTATTTGCCATCAGGTTTGTCTCGTTCATGAGCTAATAATTTTTAGCAAAGTGTAAAATATATGTTTCTTAGTTACACATAGTTTCGTAGTCACGGTTGAAAAATGCAGTGAAACACGTTAAACGTAAACTCTAAAAGCTTGTGTTCGCTCAGTGAATACAAAACGAAATGTATCCGTCAGTTATACTATTCTATATGCATCGCTTCCTTCCCATTATCCCTCGCCAAATCAATCACACGAAGCGGACGTGCTGCTGTGCGTCCCAAGAGAGAAGAACCGGCCGTGCGTTCTTATGCAACCTGTAGTCTAAGAAATTCAAATGACTGGGACTGCAAAGGTTAGTGTAAGATGTGTAGCTATTTCGAAAAAAAAATACGTTACAGTAATTTTGAATGTCATCCGATGACCTAGATCGTCAGTCAGTAGTGTGGTAGCGTTCTTGAGCTGAAGGATCGCGGGTTCGTGTCCCGCCTCGGCCATGATTGTATTTGTGTTCGTCCTTTCACCCCTATCATCACCATATCATGCATATCATAGTTAAATACGTTCAATTCAATCGGTGGTCGTTAATTATCTAGATGTTGATGCGACCTTAAATTACAAAAATAGTAATTTTGAATCTAATATTTAATCATCTGTATAATTTAGGGAAGGGTATGGACAATTTCTAACGGAAAATGACATGAATCAGACAATGGATGGATGTTTTGATTGGTAACCCACTTTTGTGTCTCACGATTTCATATAGATCGGTATATTACTGAATACACAACACTAACTACAGTCTTATATAATTTACGTTTGTAAAAGTTTCACAAGTGTATAATAATACAATTCACATGAATAAAAATACGATTGATTGCTGCTCTCTTTTACTGCTATTTGAAACTTGGACCGGTTTAACTGCAGGTCAAGCAAGTAATGTTAAAATTGCTATTAATGAAATATGTTCTACGTCTCCTAAAAATATAATTGTCGAATATCGAATATGTCGACAAGTAATTTTAAATGTAATATTGTTCCCACATTTCATTTTTAACTGGCAAAGGAGAGTATCACGGGTCTTACACCAGTTGGTAATTAGCAACATTTATCTTCTGGTAATCTTATTTCTTGTAGTTCATAAGGTATTCGAGAAATGAGATAATATCGGGGAGGAATACGCAAGCATGTTTTGCCGGGTAAAACAACTCATCCGCATTAGTGTTCATTCATTTGGAACAGATGGTGAGGGAGGGCGTAGTAGAGGGTTGGGTTGATGGAGTTGGCTTCAAAAACGTTTCCCAACACAAGAACATATAATTTCCAAGGACGTATAATTTTCGCTGGCAAGCATCAATACATCCAAAATCAAGAGTTTGAGTTAATATGACCACGAGTTACAGGAGAAATTGATTATAATGATTTTGAATTAAGAAGTCGGAGTTTTTTGAAAATTCTGAAATTTTACATAGCACATTTAAAAATATGTACATTCATCCACTTCAAAACCACTGTATGGTAAGACGTGTATGCAGAAGAAGGCGAGAATAAAGAGAAGATATCAGATTTTCATTTTGGCTTCTGGTTTGAAATTGCATTCCTAGATATCGACGTTTTGCCATGCTGCATTGGATGTTTTTTTGACAGGCTCTTTACTCAGAACTTTTTTAAACTATGCACTTAAACAGAATAAACATATTTGCAATGCTTATTGGTGTTCATTATTGCCATTATATAAAAAAGACAAGCATGCAGTCTTTCCAGTGATATATCACTGGCATATATCCCAATAGAGTCCCAAGCAAAGCTGTGATACCGATTTTCAGTAATCATGCAGCAATCTTCTTTAGCACTAAAGTCCCTTCGACGTAGCGTCATCCAGGCAGTCATTCACAACATTCTGGCCGCTCAAGTCTACAATATTGTCGCAAGTATTTTTAAATCTCTTATAGATGACCTCAAAACGTGTTTATATATAT